TTGTTTGTTGGCAGCATTGCAAAAGCCCCTTTATTGTTGATGGTTTAAACTGCGATATGGTGTGGTCCACATCTGAACTGTGTTGTATACATTGAAATGAACAAAACCTGAAATATTTATAATTTTTATTAAATCTGTCACCAATGCCAAATCAAAATTCTAGGTTTCAGAAAGTTTCTCATCTCACAACCCTCTGTATAACCCCTCCACGTTTGCATCCTCTGCTTTCATTCTGGAACCAAAAAGAGAGCAGTTTTATTTTACCATAGTTAGTTGTTATGTCCTCTTAATTCTAAATTCCACACATTTTGATCAGTGTTAACAGTGTTTTAGCAGAGGTGTAGACAACCTTTGGCCTTCCTGATGTTTTGGGGCCATAAGCTCTAACTATCAATACCAGTAATGAGCCACGATTGAATAAGCAGTTCAGTAACAGATGTAGAGCCAGAATTAACCTGCTTTATGGAAATTAACTAAATCCATGGCTTGGTTTATGAAACTGGCTTGTTTTCCTAAAATATGGCTTTAGGCTAAATGACTTAGTTGAAAAAGGAAGTGAAAACTCCTGCTCCTTGCTCATATTAATGCTAAAGGAAAAGAAGGGATCCCAAAGGCTCGCAGTTCACCCAGCCTTCTTCCTATAGTATTAAACTGCTGATCAACATGTAGCTTAAATTCAATTGCTGAAAGGTAAGGAGGATGCTCATAACCTGTAGCCACTTTTCACATTTTTAGGTTATGGGCAGCTGGGGAAAACATTAGTATAGTGAAGGATGTAATTGTAAAAATCACATGCAAGAATAATGGATATTCATTTAGTTTTGCATGATCAGCTTCTCAATCACTATGGACTTTTTTCCATAGATAATATATTTTAAATAATCATTACATTTGAATGATGACCAATGTAGCAGAGTGAGAAGAGCTGTTTATTTATTAGACTAGTGAAACAAGAAATATGTAGTAACTGTCATAAAACACCTGAGGAAGGAAAGATATCCACATGCTGGGAAGTATTTTGGACAGCACACTCAAGCATCAGCTAGATGTGATTTACTGCTTGCTTGAACTAGAACCAAAGAAGCAATATACATGCTATTGTCCCCTCCTGCTTTTTAAAAATGTAAAAATGATAAAATGTGATGGAATGTTCAAATGGCATACTTGTTCTTTCAGAGCAAATGCATTATCATCCAGAGCAGGTGAACTCCCTATCTCTGGACCTCAAAGAACCTTTGAGATAGCATAGAGTATGGAGACTGATTCCTATTTGTTGTTTTACACACCATCAAGTTGCCCCTGACCTATGGTGACTCGGTGAATGAGAGATCTCCAATATGTCTTGTCCTCAATATTCCTGCTCAGCTCTTGTAAACTTATGCCTGTAGGTTCCTTTAAGGAATCAATTCATCTTGTATTTGGTCTTCCACTTTTCCTGCTGCCTTCAACGTTTCCTAATATTACTGTCTTTTCCAGAAGATTTTGCATTCCCAAGATGTGTCCAGACTATGACAGCCTCAGTTTCACCATTTTTGCCTCCAGAGATAGTTCCGGTTTTATTTGCTTTAGGATTCACATGTTGGTCTTTCTGGCAGCGCAAGGGATTCACAAAGCTCTCCTCCAGCGCCATATTTCAAAGAAAACATTTTTTCCTATCAAGGGCAGTCTCCATATGGTTTGATGATTGAATGAGGTATACATAATCTTTAACTATTTCAGTTTCTTCGTTATCCATGCTGAAGTTGTGTAGTTCAGAGGTCCCCAACCCCCGGTCCACGGCCCGGGGCCAGTCTGTGGGCTGAGCCAGACCGGGCCATGAAGACAGACCTCCCACCCCACCCATCCCCACATGCACTCACCCCCCACATAGCCTGTTTGTGCCTGTGCACGCGCTCCCGCGTGCCTGAGTGAGCGCTGCACCGCCGTTTGCGCATGCGCATGAGCACACCCACACAAATGCCACACCACCGTTTGCACATGCATACGAGCACGCTCACACTCATTCACGTGCAAGAGAGTGTGCTTGTTCACACATACGCATGAGCGCAGGGGGTGCCCGCCTTCCCCAGCCAGTCCACGGGGTGAAAAAGGTTGGGGACCGCTGGTGTAGTTCTTCCGTAGTCATGATTTTTGTGTTTTCAACATTCAACTACAGTTTTGCTTTTGCACTTCTTTCACATTCACTAAAAGTCATTTCTGCTTTCTGTCAGTAAGACGGTTGTCATCTGCATATATAAAATTATTGATATTTCTGTTGGGGTTTTATTTGCAACGTTGCATGCTGCCTGTAGTTTATCTGACTGGGATGGACTTTTCTGGACTGTGGTGATTATCTATTCCAGGCTTTGAATTCAAAGAGAGTCCTGCCTCTCTGCTGAGTGCTTTTTTCTTCTTTTTCCTGGGTTGGTGGCAGTTGTTTGTTTGCTGTCGAGCTCTTCATTTGATTGCTAAATACAGTAAAGAAAGCAGCATAGGCATATTGTAACATGTCTGTAATTTTAAGTAACTGTAAGTAAATAAATGTTTTTTATTCTTTCTACTACAAATGTCTCAGAGTGCATTATAAAGACTTTAAGTGTCAATTAATGAGAAAGGGGTGGACTTTGGGGAACTGTAGCTATTCTTCTCTGTTGGTTAATATTTGTTCTTCTACTGTGTAGGAAAAAATAATCTGAACAGAGTAATGGGCATGTAAAATGAAAATGGAAGGAAGGTGATAGTAAACTAGTCAGGAAAAGGTAAGAAAAGATAAGCAAAAGGAGATGATAGTCTATGTTGGAAGTGAGAACTCCAGGAGGAATTGCAGATGCCTGTAGACAGGTTGTACCAGAAGGAACCATTGTATCACAGTACATCCAACAATACGATCCCCGTGTGTAAACACCAGTACTGAGATGACCTGCTCAAATCTGAAACGACAACAAAAATCTGAACAACTCAGAGCAATCTCAGAATGACTGGGGACATCATCACAGTGTGAATGAGATGGCAGTCAAATATAGAAGCTAAGTCTGTAGAGTCAATTACACACATACTTACACATAGCTTCCATCTATGACCACCACATCATAAATGTGCTCTTCATAGATGTACTGTATGTGTGCATGTGCGTAAGAGAGAGATCATTCTGAATGATAATGCAGTCCTTTCTCATCTCTACCTAGTATACGAAGTATATGAAGCAGGAATCAGTAGTTTTAGGGATACTGATGAAATGAAGATTCCATAGATTCATGATTTCCATGAATCTATGGAATCTTTATTTCTCACACACACACACTCACACTCACTCTCTCTCTCTCTCTCTCTCTCTCTCACACACACACACACACACACACACACACACACACACACCACAAAAATGGGTTGGAAGATTCACCTGTTGTGGAGCAAGGTGGACTGCTCCCAAGCTGACTGAATCAGTGGGAGTTCATTACTTTTGAACTTCAGCATCCACACTGGCCCCCTGAACTCAAAAGCCCCAAACAGTCAAGACCTGCTTGTATAAGATTATTTGAAAATACTTGAATATTTTCTCACCATTATCAAATCTTTATGATTTGTATGGGGGATCGCTTTATAGTTAATTGCACAGCTATTGTGCTCATGCCCCTGGAAATATTCCAAAGCCCATAAGTCTTTCAAGAGAATTGTAGGAAGGTCTGACTTTACCATGTTTCAATATTCAAAACTTTTAGGTGTGTGTATATTTTTATCATTTTAATTTTTTGTACACTTTTAATTTTTATATGCACTCATCTAACAGTGACAAGATATTTTATATTATATTATTTTTAAAAAATCATAATTTATTTCCTGCTTTTCCTCCAAGCACCTCAATATAGTCAATATTGTCCTCTACATTTTCTCCTCACAATACACCTAGGCTTAGAGATAATGACTAGTACATTGTCACCACTCACTAAGATCTGAACATAGGTGTCCCCACCTCTAATGCAGAACATTAACCACACCATATTGGCTTCTATTATTTTAAAAAAATCATAATTTATTTCCTGCTTTTCCTCCAAGCACCTCAATATAGTCAATATTGTCCTCTACATTTTCTCCTCACAATACACCTAGGCTTAGAGATAATGACTAGTACATTGTCACCACTCACTAAGATCTGAACATAGGTGTCCCCACCTCTAATGCAGAACATTAACCACACCATATTGGCTTCTATTATTTTAAATGGAGAATAAACATTCCTGTATACAGGGTGTCCCCTGCACATTATAAAGAAAATTTCTGGTCAGTCATGAAAGTGCTAGGATGGGATCCTTCTAGAGTTGTCGACTTCAAGAATCTTCCTAGCTGGTCTGCAAGGTTGAGGGAAAGTTACTCACGTTCTACCTCATTATTTTATGAATGAAGCATAAATGGCCAAGTTAATTTGCTTAGCTGAGATAAGAGGCTATAAAATACTACAATAAATTGAGTAATATGGAACCATGTGTTAGGTTTGGTAAGATTATGGTGGATTATTTATGAAAGGCTAGAGCGATAAATGTGTGGTCCCAGTGAGAGCTTATGTTTTATTCTTCTTCCTGGAAATATCCTGACTCACTGTCTGTTGTCTGTGTATCATCATTAGGCTTCACAACTGCACCTACTTGGAAAGCTTCCTATTCTTCGCTAAGGCATGTGGGTTTCTTTCTCTTTTTTCTCCTCCCTCCCCCTCACTCTCAGGAAGAGCAGAGCATCTTCAGCTACGGAAATGATATTTAAATTGAAAGACAACTAAAAATGCTAGCATTTGCAAGGAAAAAATGATAATGATGTGCGGTTGTGTGTGTTGTTATCCGTTAAGCAATACTAAGAGAGAGTTAAATATCTGAAGGATTTGAGGAGGGGGGAGGAGGAGGAGGAGAGGGAGAGGGAGAGGGAGAGGAAAAATCCCCTGATTGTGCTGAAATGCATGGCCCTTTGCCTGGAACAGAAGCTCAAGCACACTGCACAGCATAGGAGTCTCTGGGAGAAGCTGTAGCAGAGCTGTTTTTAGTATCTTTGCTTGGATCTTACACTATTCGATGCCTTGCAGCTGTTAAAAGAAATATTGCTTTTTTTAAAAGCCATTGATCTGGTGCTGGAAGCAGTGGTGATAGTAGTAGTAGTACTGAATGACACAGCTTTGCTGGATGACATGGAGCTGATCTCTGCATCAGCCAAGAAGAATTAAGCTTTGTCACTCCCCACTGGGACTACCTTTCTTCTGGTATGTGCAGGAAGAATTCGTATGCTTCTGCTGCATCCGACAAAGCAGAGCCTTGAGTATACTTTGCCTCGGAAGGCAGTAAGCAAGAATGATAGCTGTCTCTTTTAAATGCCGTTGTCAAATTCTGAGGAGACTTACTAAAGGTATTGTCTTTTCCTTATTATTCATTCAATAGCTATATTGCAGCATTCCATAAACACAGCTTAATGATTTTACTTCCAGATATGACTGCCTCTTTTTACTATTTATTACCAGATGACAAAGAAGAACTCTGTGACTGCACACATACGCACACGCATAACACTTACACAGGTATCGGTAGAAGGCTTGAAGCCTCATGCTGTGTTCACATTATGGCACGATGCTCCTTTGTGATTTTCAGATGATATCATGGCTCAAAGGAGAATTCGTTTTCAAGTAAAGTGCTAAAGTTATTATGGGATATTATTGGTTTGTATTCCTGTCTACTGGACAGCAGAAGTCTTGCTTGTGTTACCATGTGTTATGTATTACTAAAAACTGCTGAGAGGAAGATCTTGGACCTCAGTGAAAGGTGATGTTAATTCACATTGTTGATATATTCAGCATCCTGGGATGTTCTTGAGACACATTATGAAGGGTTTTTCTCTATATGTTAAAGTGTCTCACAGCTTTAGAGTCAGAGACAATGATATTATGTTGTTGTTTCTCATGCTCCTATCGTCGTCTTCCTCCTCCTCCTCCCCCTTCTTTTCATCATCATCATCATCATCATCGGTGTCTTGGCTAAATTAGTAAATGGATTATTGGTGGGGTTCATTAGCTTGATCATGATGCTCTTGTTATTTTCATTCCTCAACTATTAAGATAACATATTCAATTTTTATCTCAAAACTGTGAGATACAGTACTATTAAATGTTACTGATCAACATTCAAAATATCTGCTCTTGCATTTTATAGAATATAATGCATTGTTTTAATTCTTAGTCACATCATTCAAATAGCCTATATTAAACGCCACTGAAAATCCAAAGTGTAACAAATAACTATACAATGTTCTAAAATAGCGGTGGAACTTTTGTTACTTCTGGCTTTTGATGATACAATAACATCTTATCATGTGCTTGGAAGGAAATAAAGGCTTGCAGGTTAGAGAAGTGATATATGAAAGCACTGTGAAACAGTGAATTACGATTGCTGTGCTAAATAGCAATGGACCTGCAAAAGTGCTAATGAACTTGTCATGAAGGTCTCTGTTTGAAAAATTAGTTTTCCTTCAGTAAGCAGTTATATAATTTGTACTTAATGTTGCTAAAACATGTAGGAAGGTTGGGCTTTTTTAAGGACCTGCAAGAGTAAGAAGAGATTTGTTATAAAGTTCAGTTGCTTGATAATACAGGGTAAGTATCTATTAACTGATACATCAAAGCTGCTGTCCTACATACACTTACTAGTACTGAAGATTCATTTAATTCAGTGGGGCTTCTGCAAATAAGTTAAGGATTCTGCTGCATGTAGTTCACGTGTTTCTTCAAGTAAATAATATGCTGTGCTTAGATTTTCAGTAAATGTAAGTTAATTTATTTCAGACATGGAACTATTTTCATTCTTCTGCTAAAACTGTTTTTCTTAAATAAACTTGGGTTTTGGATGATGAGAATTTGGCATTTGAACATAACTTATCTATTAATGCTGCAAAATTTACATGCAGGTTACTTAAGAACATGCAGTCATTTGCACTCGTTCTGTCACAAAACATGAGAAAAACTTTGCTTCACTCCCTAATAAGGAGAACACATGGCGCTGGCACTAATAGCCATGCACTGGGGGGGGGGGACGATTTTGGCTCATTCTTGTTAACTACTGCTGATGTACAGTGTCGATCTGAGAATTGTGACAAAGGCTTTTCTTCTTGCAGTTAGCCAAAAACATAAACTGTTGGATAGCTCAGTGGTTTAGGCATCTGATTCCCCCTGTGGCTCCTTGACAGAGGTTGGATTGATGATCCACAGGGTCCCTTCCACCTCTGCTAAGATTATTATCATGCTGTAATCCTGCTACGTTGAGATGCTTATATAAATGCACAGTTGCATTGGTATTTTTTTAAACATTCCATATATGAAGTCAATAGACAATGGACCTTAGTTTTGAATGTTGTCTATGTTCAAGCTCGGGGGGGGGATCATATTTTAAATGTAATTTTTTTCTTAATGTTTTGACATTTATATTCATATTTTTCACAGAAGATTGCAGAAAATCCTGGTTGTTTCCCCCCTCCCCCCAAAAAAAGGCTTTTTAAAAAATCAACATGCCACATTGGGCTCTGCAGGCCTGACGTATCTACATGGTCTTGGCCTTCATTTGGGATTAAACCAATAGTAATACAATACAAAGTAAGCAGGGACAACAACAACCATATGAATTTGCCAGATACCACTGCATTTCTTCCTTGATTTTCCAAGATCTTTTTTTTTTTTTTTTTGCTGAAAGGGAGGGGTCTAACTGCTTTTAAGTAACAATTCTATCATACAGCGGTCCCTCTACTTACCTTCCACTTAACTGAGACTTACTGTAAGCAACTCAACCTGTTGAGATCTGGCTATGGTGTAAAGACTCCAAAAGAGGCAGAACACACAAACACACACACACACACACACACAAACACACACTTGCTATCACCTTCTTTGTTCATGTTTTTTAAGGCCTCTAGGAAGATCTTTTTGGGATAGTAAAATGTTTGAGCAGGTAATCATCCTGAAGGTGTAGGGAGGATTGTATTGTTTAATTTAGAAGAATAACGGGTGTAGGTTGTTTTAGTTGATGTAACCACTTAAAGATCTGTTTGTCTACTTCAGGGTTATCTACACCAGTGGTTCTCAAACTGGGGTTCCCAGATATTCTTGGACTTCAATTCCCAAAAAGCCTTCACTACTTGCTATGCTGGCCAAGATTTCTGGGAGTTGCAGTCCAAGGACATCTGGGGACCCAGATTGGAGAACCACTGATCTACACTGGCTCTTTTGGTGTGAGCTGATTTGGTCTAAATAGGTTCACTTCAAATTTGGGGGAAGAGCAATATGTCATTTGGTGCGATCCTCAAGTGATCCTCGTGCTCCTTCCACTGTCAACTGAACTCTTATTCTGCTTCTCATTGGAGTGGCAGGGAAGGGAAATTATATTTTTTTTCTGTGCTGGACCATCACTGATGCACTGATTCAATGAAATAAATTTTTTTAAAAAAATTTGCTTTATGTGCAGTACCGACAAGAAACTGCCTGCAGCCAGCAGTATGAAGTACAAGGCAAAAAATAAAAATCTAAGTGGTATCAGCAGTGGTCTAGCCAACATGAAAAATGTAGAATAATTTCACTTCCCCCTGCCCTTCCACTGAGGAGCTGGGAAAGTGTTAAATTTGTCAATTTTCTGAAGCAGCTTGTTTATTACGCCACTTCAGGATACTGGAATTTCAAACTGGAAGGAATTGCTTTTTTTGATTGAACACTCCAGAAACAGACTAAACTAGGGCACAACAATCTGCACCAAAAAAAAAGTGGAAGCCCCTGAGAGGTGCTCAAAAAATGTGGGCTGGGATGCCCTGAGGGCAAATTGGGGCAAATTGGTCTGCTCCAGAGATTAGGTCATGTGGACACAGGAAAAAAGAAGCAAACCATCTTTTGCAGTGCACCACTGAATGAGCTCATAGTAATTTAGCCAGGTGTCTGCTTCTGTGAGGTATCACTGTTGATATAAGGACTAGAAATGAAAAGGAAAAGGAAAGAAGGAAAAAATGTTTGACTAACCAGAGTTCACTAGAAATTTGATTGGAAATCTGAAATAGCATATCTCAAGAAAACATTGTGTAAAAGCTTATCTGTGGATCTGACAAAGTAGGGCTTATTTGTATTATAGGTATTTGCTTTGCTGTGAGAAACACTGTTTGATTCTTTCAAGCCTATGAATTGTTCACAGATTGCTCAAGCACATCAAGGGCTGAAGCTGGATGAAAGATCATCAAGAGCACTTGGGAAATTGTGAACGGCTCTTAACTCAGCTTCCTTGCTTCTTGGGGGAAAGTGATCATAAAGAAAAGAAGATGGCCTTCTCTAATAATGCTAAAATGAACAGAGCATACACTTTGTTGTGAATGCCCCTAAATAGTTTGTAAGGTTGTGTGGTTGGCATACAAGGATACAAGAGATCTGTTCTGCTGGCCTTTTTTCTCCCACTGTCTGACAGTCAAACTATCTTGTGTGTTCCTTCTTCCTTAAAACAATAGCAACTTACTGAAGCCACATTAGAACATGAGCAGAGCTTGAGAAGGTGCTCAAACCCTTTTCCTTAGACTATTGGCCCAGTCACACACCTACAACTTTTTTTCCCCTATGGGGGAAATATAATGTCCTGTAAGAGGCAAAGTTGTTTGTGTGTGTTTTACTTGGACAAATGATTGACTAAATGGCTCTGAAGAATTAAGCCATTTAATTAAGCCCTGCTTCTACATTTCTGTGATGAAGTATTGTCTAAAGTAAAAGCACGTGAAGTTTTGTTTTTTGTTTTGGTCTTTAAAAACATTCAACTTTACTTTGATGCTGAACTGGAGACAGTATATCCCCGATTGACCCTAAAACACTTTGGTATTCCTTGTGTGTACGTATTCTTCAGGTGGTTCCTGTTTGTATTTATGTTTGCTTGTTTGTAGTATCATAAAAGCCACTCTATTGTTGATGGTTTAAACTGCAATACGGTTTATTGAACTGTGTTGTATACATTGAAATGAACAAAACCTGAAATATTTATAATTTTTATTAGAACTATCACCAATGCCAACTCAAAGTTCTAGGTTTGAAAGCATGTAAATGCGAGTAGATAAATAGGTACCACCACGGTGGGAAGGTAATGGCGGTCCATGTCTAGTTACACTGGTTACATGAGCACGGAAACTGTCTTCGGGCAAACACTGGCTCTATGGGTTGGAGATGGCGATGAGCACTGCCTCCTGGAGTCAGACATGACTGGACGTTTGTCAAGAGGAACCTTTACGTTTACTTTAAACTGGGATACCGTGTAGTCCACATCTGAACTGTACACATCAAAATGAATAAAACAAATTTGAAATAATCATAGTCTTTATTAAACCTGTCACCAATGCCAAATCAAAGTTCT